GTCACCTTTTTTGAATAGCATAGCATAGCCTGCAGCAAATTCCCCAACATGACATGAAAGACTGGGAGACCACCCTAACGCTAAATCTCCTGCTATCCCCCTTGTTAACCTACTTACTAAATCCACCTGAAGCCTGAACCCTATATATGTCCCCATGACCCTTTGAAGGGTCCCTGTAACACTCAGGACCATCCTTACACCCTAAACCCTAAACCCAAGGCCCTAAATCCGAAACCCTAAAACCTGTTTTTGCATCTGGGCTCGCACACAGCCAGAAATATCTCCGACCAAGGCCCGGGAGCAACCTAAACCCTTAACCCTAGACCCTAAACCCTAAACCCTTAACCCCTAAACCCTTAAACCCTAAACCCTAAGTCCCCCAGGGACAGCAAGGGAGACAGCCGCCCGGCTCCCTCGCGGACACAACCCGCGCCGCTGAGCGAGGCAGTCGCTGGGAGCAATCCATATCCTCTGAGAATTTATGCTTTTTTTTACAACCCCTCGGACTTTTGATGCCTGCCTGAACGACACGGGGTTCTTACCTCCAGTTTAGCAGTTGGCATTTAGGGTTTGGGTTTTAGGGTTTAGGGTAAAGGGTTTAGGGTTTTAACTTACAGTTTAGGGTTAAATAGGGTTTCGGGATTGAATGAACGTTGAGGGTTTAGGCCATCCCCCAGGCACAGGCTATGAGGTACAGCGGTCCCTTTCGCCTAGGGATATATCTGGAGAATCTATTTCAATGATGATTTCAGCACGTGAATTTTCTCGAAGTTGTTGATTTTAATTGAATTCAACACGAGCGGAAAAGAACAGACTCGCGGCACAGCAACAAAAAACTGAAACGAAGCCACAGCTTTTGTTCTGAAATTCCATTGACTATGTTTTACCAAGCATAGCGTGTGCGTACTGTTCCAACGTCAAGGTGGAAGTCAAATTGGACACAAGCTCAAGTCAAACAGCCTGATATTCGTTCACCGGTATTTTTGGCGTTAGACAGGAATTCCAGGATTCCTCATCACCTGCAAGTTCAACCCAGCATGACCCTTGCGAACGCTTGACGGACCTTGATCTAGAATTCTTTCACTCAACAACGAATGTGTTTTCCAAACAGCTCGCTTGTCAAGTTGCAGGGGTCAGGGATGCAAAAAGCTTGTGATGTCATTTCGTCAGAAACGGGCCCTGTCATGCGTTTGGGTTTGGGGGTGGCTTTGCGGATTAGGGTCTAGGGCTTGGGGCGTAGGGTTTTGGGAATCATTTACGATGTTTTACTCGCGCTTTGGTGCTTGGGGTGTAGGGATGAATTGGGGGTTTCTAGAGGCTATTATGACCCCTAAATTACCTAGGACATCTAGAGCTTGCAAAGGACTTCCGATGCAAGAAACTCTGCCGCCAAATAGCCACTCAATTCCTCATCACACCCAAGTCCAAGCAGCAACGACTTACATACTATGGCATATTGCATACTTCTGACAAACTTAACCCAGTGAGACCATCCAATTTCACGCCAAATGATAGACAGCATAGCCATACTTCTGCTTGTGAAATGGACGTTACAGTAGATTAAGCCCCAACCCGTGCATACCCCAGCGCTCAAGCGAAGGCGATCATTTCATGTCAAAACCAAATGCGTAACGCTCGACTTGCTGGACACGCCACGGTCCACCCTCCATACAGCAGTATGACTACATACTGTATCATAGTATGGCACTAGATATATATATTATATATACAATATAAAAAAAATATCATAAGAAGGTGTTGTACATTATGATAGCAAGTCCTTGGGAAGCCTCTCCACTTCATCCGGCGCCAGGAACTGCTCCAGTAGGCGGTCTGCAAATATCCTGTCCCAAGCTGAACCATTATGGAAATCCATCTTTGTTCCATTACTGGTATCATGATGAGCCTAAGTGGAAGGAAGCGGTCCCATTAGAGCATGTCCCAACCCCTACTTGGGTTATGGCTAAGGGTGTGGGATTCAAGCTTTGGGACCCCTACAACCATCACAGCCCCGCAGCATGTGTTGGCATATGGCCGTGAACGTAAGCGCCACGAAACTATACCGACCAGGAAATCCCATCCTACCCAGCAAAAGCCACATACACAACATACTCCTCCAAGCTCATGAAACGTGTCCTTCCTAGCTTTACGAAATACTAACAACAGATCTGAACAAATGACTCAAAGCAACAGTGCAGTCAACCTTCGTGACCAGCTGGGGCCAGTGGCTGAAAGGACAGGTGGTTCCAGACCAAAGAAACTAGAAATCCACAAAGCGGGCCAGGCAAAAGACGCTTCCGACCACATCGAAGAAGCAGACCGACTCTCAAGATTTTTTCCTGAAACCTCACGAGAAGCCCGCAGGTCATGTGGAATTCTCCAGACCCTAAAAAGCCTTCCCAAACCCTCAACCCCTCACCAGTAATGTCCATGTCCTTTTCCATTGTCTTTTCCATTCCCATTCCCTAAGCCCTACAGGACCTAGACTCATAAACCCATAGATGTCTCTTATCCCTAAACCCTTTTTCCTAAATCCTAAACTCTAAATCCTAAACCCTAAACCATCAACCCTCAGTGCCTGCAGTGGCATTCCTTGATGTTCAGGCCTTCGGCACAGCGCTGATATGAGCCCGCTTCCTTACTCTAGGCAGGTACGAAACACCGGCGTTATCCATGATGGTTAATACAGGGGATATAGGTTTCACTACTAGTTCTCCCAACCACAATAGCCGCCCGCAGTTATCATGAGCTTAACTAGGGGGTGGACATAGGGTGGTAGCACGGGAACCCACACGTCTAGCCTGACTTTAACATGATCTTTGCCTTACACGATCCTTGCTTCTTGCGGTAAATGGTCCAGAGTTTAGGCTTCAGGGCTTAGGGTCAAAGATTAAAGGTTTAAGGTTTACGGTGTAGGGGAAACAAACGAACGTATTCAGGACTTTTCAGGCAGAAACCCTCATGGGTTCTGCAACCCACCCCACGATGCCACCCCCCCATGGCCCTATGATTCTCCCTTAACTAGCCTGAATTCATCCTAACAAGGCTAATCAAAGTGGAACCTTGGGGGTTAGTATGGGGGCAATAGTAACCAATGGAACTTTCGAATCCCCCAAGCTCCAAGCGCCCCGAAGCGGTTTAGAGTTTAGGGTTTAGGATGTAGGGGTAGAATCGAAGCTGCTGAAAGGTGGGACAAGCTGCATCCCACGTGAAGTAAGGGTAGTCCAGCGCAGTCATGGCAACAAATTTAGCGATCTCCTGCTTAGGCTTTGGGGTTGGGGGCCTTGGGGTGTGGAGCGTAGGGTTAAGTTTTAAGGAACCCGGCACGGAACACAAAAAAACAAGGATCCCTCTTTTCAGGCCCCTACAGTAATGACAATAATTAGCGCTATCTGACAATACGAAAAGAACTCCTACGTGTATTGAAACAAACCCAGGGCAAAGCAAACACAAATACAATTGGACCTAAGGATGCGAATCCGCAAACACATTCTACTAATTGCTGGGACCCTGCGTTAAAAGCCTTGCTGGAAAGTACAGGCGCTAAACTATGCAGAGTCCCAATTGCCAACTCCAAAACCGGAGGATTTAGGGTTTAGTGGATTCGAGCGGGGCTGTATTTGACGAGGTCTGCGAAGAGAAGGAAATCGTTGATGCTGCGAAAAGAGACCGCGGCCTAGCATTTGGGGTTCAGCTTTACGCTTAGGGGCTATGGGACCATTCGGTCGAGACACCTCTAATAAGTCAGCATGAGACCTTTCACATTGGCAGCAGAGGTCGCTGCAGAGTAGGGCGCCTTCAGCGTAAGCACTATGGGAAGCCGTCACGCAATGACAGTAATTATAGACATGGCAATGCTGGGAGAAGTCCTAGCAATAGCAACAGCAATACCAATAGCAACAGTAGCAGTAACAGCGGCAGTGCTGTCGCATGCAGACTTTATGAAGCTCCTTTGGCAGACTCGTGTGCTTGAGGCCTCTGCCATCTGGTAGGATTAAGCCCTGTACCCTGGCTCTTGCAAATACCGGAATTGAGAGGCTTCAGAGATAGAACGGTGGAGAATCAAACGGAAAAGAAAATAGAAAATGAAACGGAGGCTGGGTTTCTGCACAGTAGGGTTGCATACGCATGTGTGAAAGGGCCTAAATAACAGATCACGCAGTTGCAATGGAGCAACAGTGCTAATAAACTCAAGGATTCATGTTGCACATATGCTGTCGACACTGCACATTAACGTGCGAACTCAAGGGCTGGGCTCGAAACCTGAAGCGCTCCCCAGCGCAAACCGAAAGCCCCTCGCAAAAAAGTGCCCCCGCCTCATAGGAAACAGCTCTTGCCATCGCAAAGGTGTGCGAGAAGGAGTACCAGCTCTCATCTCCACCGTTTTCCTACCAGTTCCGTTCCAGCTACCAACCCTCATATGCCCTCTTCATTTACCCCCCTACTATCCACAGTGACTCCACGCACCCACCCAGAAACGACTTTTCCCTACAGCCTGGCTGAGTAGTCTCAATTCAAACCTGTCATGAATCCACTTGGGAAGCGTTCTTTCACCTGAAAGCTGGTTTTCTCAAGGTTCTGGTCCTTCGAAAACCGGCCCGACGCGGGCGCCTTATATATCCCAACATACTCTAACTCCTCGTAAGGACCTTCCAGGGACCCCTAACTGCTGCTAAAACAAATGGGGTCCGATGTTAATCCCTTCCCCCTGATATTAAAACCCCCCTAACAGAAAACAATAAATTCAGGAGCCTAAAATTCTTGAAGAACACGTTTAAAAGGGCAAGACTACTTTAAAAGTGGCCACCTAATGATGAATTGGGGAGTCTGGAATTCTCGATTATATTCAATGGGGGAATTGTCAATTATATTCAACTGGTTAATTAAGCCAAGAACTATTGATTTGATTTCATTCGTTAATTGTTGATTTTCCATTGACTTTAAAGGGGTTTCACAAGGCAGCCCTATCTAATTCGTTGGATGAATCGCCCCTCTCATATGAATAGCAAATCGTGCCGAGGATTTTTTAATATTACGGTGGAGGGGGACGTCGCTTAACATTAGGGGGAAGCAAGTAGTTTTGCTTGCGCATTGGGCGGAGTTTCATATTGGATGGAAACCAAACAGGAACCCTAAACCCAAAACCCTGAACCCCAAACCCGAAACCCTAAACTCCAAACCTTAACCGTAAACCGCTTACCACCAGCCAGAATCCCTCGGCCTTCCCCATGTATCTGTGGAACCAGCAGGGCTAGCTATTAACGCTTCATTGTCCAACTGTTACTGGGTGGGAACAGCATATAAGACTGGGTTGCCGCTAAGGAACTTAAATTCAATTACCACGGTATGGGCGTATAGCAAATAATGGGACTTCCTTATTATGGTTATTTGACTGAAGTTCCTGAAAGGCAACATTTGGGTGTTTTGTAGATAATCCTTATTATGGCTATTTACTCAAGTTGAATTCCTTAACAGCAACCCAGTTGAAGCTGCTGAAATATGGTAAACAATTCTTACTATGGTTATCTAATTACTTGAAAGTCTTTGGAAACCCTAAACCCTAAAGTTACTTAACAGCAACCCAGAAGATTTCAGGTTCAGGTCCAACCTTTGGAGCTTGGCTTTTTGGAGCTTTTGGATCGAGGCCAGGCTGAAGGAATTTAGGGTTTAGGGTTTAGGGGTTAGGGTTTAGGGTTTAAACTTTTCAAGGCAATTTATTCTACAGTTTTATAGTGGTCTATCGGGATTATATAAGGCTTCTAAAGGAAAGGTGTGGGTTATGTTTCAGGCTTCTTGAGAACTTTTTGGCTTAGGTGTTTGGGATTAAGAGGGCCATTGTGGTTGGCCAAGGGTGCAACATTCAAGCGCCCTGAATCTTGAGCCATGGAGTTGGATGTAGTTGGGATGCTTACCATTTGGGTCATTCCCCCTTACAGTAACTGTTACCACAATGGGTTATAGGAGGTATAAGAACCGACTTAATAACGCCCCTTTAAGGACAGTTACTGGGAGGGGGAATGACCCAACTTACCATCTACATGGGGGCTTCCAGAAATTAGGGCTCCTATTTGGGGGCGCCGCATGGCCGCCCTAATTGGACACCCACATATACTCCAGCAAATTCCTCAGCAACCCTGTCTACACTTACCAAAACCAGGAAATAAATTTACTTCAACCCCCTAAGCATCTAGGGTTTAGGGTTTTAAGGTTCAGGGTTTAGGGTTTAGGTTTTAGGATTTTAGGGTCTACGGCTTAGGGTTTAGGATCTTCAGTTTTTCTTTTCCATGGGGGTTTAAGGGTTCATGGGTGTAGGGTTTAGGGTATAAAAATTGGGCCAATCTCTTATGGGGACCCCTAGAATCTCCTTGTACTAGCTACATCCACAGGTCCCTTGGTGACCCTTTTCTGCGAAACTCCCTTATGAGGCTTAGGGTTTAGGGTTTATGAGGATCATGATTGCACTCTCTTTTTGGCGCCACGCCATCTGCTGCGTTCGCGCTTCCGACAGCTGCTTTCTGGCAATGTCTCGAAATGAGCTAACCTTCGCCTATAAAGAAAAATATGTGTACTAATATCTTAGGGTTATACTAGGCTAGCTTGAAAAATCCTAAGAAGACTACAGTCCTCTATACTTCAAACTGAGAACAGCCTAACCAAAAGAGCTCACGTAAGCGGGGCCCAAAATTCGAAGAAACTCCCCACGCCCTTGGTGACAAATATCTGCATCACACTACCATGATGTAGTGGCAAAATGCGAGAAACACTTATGCTTACAGCTTGCAGGAGTTTTGCCACATCATAAACCCTAGACCCTGAACCCGATGCAAATCCCCAACAAGGACTCCCGTACTTAATCCCTAAATCCTAAATCCCTAAGTAATAGTTTCCATAATATTTTCCACCATCCCAATATAACCACAATAATATATCCCCTACATACCCCGTACCCCTAAACCCTAAACCCTAAATCCCTATGTACCCCTACATGTCCCTGGAGTCCCTAAGAGCCTCCCTCTTCGAGACATTGCCAACTGCAGGACGGCATCTTTTGTGCCCACAAAAGTTGAGTAGTGTCTTTTTTGGTGGTTGAACCTAGTAAGATGATATTCCTTATGGAAAATACTATAGCCCAAAAGGAGGATAGAATCTTACTCTATATTGGGTACCATAGTATCCCCAAATAAAATACTACTCAGTTGATCACAGCTCCTTCTGCTTCCTCAGCTCTTCCCGGGTTTTCTGCAGCTCCGCAGGCGTGAAGACCTGCGACATCGGATCTAAGAGTCTTCAAGCAACGAAGAACTACTAAAGGACATCGTTTTGATCTGCTTGTCGCTGGCTACAGATTTTTCCTATTGAGCCTTGCTAAGTCCACGTCGCATCCGAAAACAAGAGAAGTGAAACCCGACGAAATCCCAACCCTGGCTTAATCTCCGCCTGCGCGTTCGATCCGCTGTTCTTCAAATAATCCTCAGCTGACTTTAAGACTTTGTAGGATTTCATGCAATAGGAAACCCGACAAGTTCAATTCTTAAGAGCCAGGCTAACCCTTAGATTCTAAAGACTAAATCGTGAATTCTGACCCCTAAAGTCTATACTATAGACCCTTAACTTTAAACCCTTAACCCTTACTTCCCAAAAAACGGAACCACTAAACCCAGCCAAAAATCTTGCACGGCTTCGATGCCGCCCTCCTCGGCCAGCTTCTCAATGAGTTTCTGGTCCTGGGTTGCTGTTCGTTAGAATAAATCACCATCATGGCTTCCCTTCAAAGGGCTTATCTACAGCTTCTATAATCACATGAGCTATAGTCTAAACTCCTAGTATCCCCCTTTACTAAGCCCTATAGTAGTTCCCTATATAAGGAGTTCACACTATGGCTCACATAAGGTTAAGTTGCCAGAAAACAGATAGGCACAAAGTGATAGCGCTTGCCTAAACCCTCGATTAAGTTCCTCAATAACAAGCCCAGGGTCGGGGGGCAGCTTCCGGCCTCCACCTCCTTTGCCACTAGCACACCTGGGGGATGGTTAATGCAATTGTTTAACCATATGAGCTATAGTCTAAACTCCGAGTATCCTCCTTAAAAACCCTCATAGTACTCCTCTCTGTGATCCCCTTCAAGGAGTGTAGACTATAGCTCATATTATTTTCTTTTCTTCAGGGAACTAAAGATCAATCCCCTCTTAAGGACGCCCCCCTTAGGGACGACCCTTGACTGTTTGGAGACTGGCTTTTCTCTTTCGGGGCAAGAGTTTCGGTTGGTCATTCTTCCCAGCATCTGTAATCCTCGGCCCCAAAGCCCCCTGGACTGATTCCGCAACAACCCTCCCACATGAAACCGAAAACATTTACCAATATCATTCTCCTCTAGTCCATATGGGACGATCATCTAACAGACCCCTGACCCTAAAGCATAAACCCGCCCGCCTAAAGCCTGTGTTGTAGCTGCCACTGTCTGCAGTGTTGCCCATTCGGGTCACCACAGTGGCCTTGTGGTTGAACTCGCCATTTAAGCCTTGCACATGTGTTCTGGGTTTAGGATTTAGGGTCAAGGGACCAGGGTTTAAGGTTTAGGGCTCTTGGGTGTTGGGTCCGGAGCAAGATGTACACTTATTCTTTTGGCACATATGGGTTTCAGAATCACCTGGCGATAAGAGGGTCAATGCTTGCAAGGGGTCATCTCCGGAGTCATTTCCATGCATGGAACTCTCCATCGTTTAGGCCGTGTTTCCATAGGATGCAGAGAATTGGTTTTTTGAACCCATGCTTAGCTGAAAGCGTGTGACTGTGATGCAGGCAATTACAAACATTGCATCCCTCCTATACCCTAGTTCTGGGGCCCACAAGAACCTGGACTTCCTGCAAGGCCCAGGAAACGCCGGTTTTCTCAGACCATGGCCCTGCAGTGCCCACTGCTTCCAAGACAGCCACACAACGCCACCAAACTTGACTAACCCAAGGGCCCAAGGAGCCAAAAGATCCAATGAGCTATAGTCCAAACTCCTAGTATCTCCCTCAATAGACTCTATAGTAGTCCCCTATATAACCCCCTATAAGGAGTTTAGATAATGGAGCAAATGATGAAGGTTGTGTAAAGTTTGCCATCCAGAAGCTATCAATGAAAGATCCTAAACCCTAAACCCTTAAACCCAGGAGCTATCAATGAAAGATCCTAAACCCTAAACCCTAAACCCTTAAACCCGGGAGCTATCAATGAAAGATCCTAAACCCTAAACCCTTAA